AGAGAGAAAGAAAGCGTTAGTGAAACACTTGAGAGGAAAAAGAGTGATCAAAAGAAGAGTGAAACACTTGAAGTGAAACTGAGCTATTTAGCCATAAAAAGTGAGTATAATGTTTGTTCTACATTTAATTTGTCAGACTTATCTCTTTTTAATGTAGATGACGAATCCGATTTGAGGACAAATCCTTTTCAAGAGGGAGAGAATGATGTGAGCATGACCTATGATAAGGGCTAGAGCAAGAGAAGCAAAGGAAGCTCTTCAACAAGTATTGTTGGTTGACCAAATTGTGTTTTGGATTAATCAATTAATGGGCTTTAGTTTGATTTTGTTTTAAGTTGTAATAAGGGCCCAATTGAAAATTTAGTCATCAGCCTTTGGGAGACCAAGGGGTACATAGCTGATTGACTTTTGGTTGCCACAATTTCAGATACAATCAGTCATTAAGTAGTTTCAATTCCTAAGTTAATGGATCATTATTAGCCTTTATTTGTTTCCATTAAATAGTTTGTAATTCCTAGATTAATGGGTTATTATTAGTATTTATTTTCTTTTATTGAGTCTTTTGTAATTCTGATGGCAACACTTCTATATCAGCTGAACCATTCTTATCAAGAAATAACAAGTGAAATTTTATTCAGAAATATTAGAGTTTATCTCTTTTATCTTAGTGAGAGTAATTCTCCTAAATTCTTGAGTGATTCAAGAACCCTTGGCTGTATCAAAGGACTGTCACATCCTTTGTGTGTTGCCTCCCTTGGGAAGAGTGATTCTTTCCTTCCACCTTCTTTCTAATTCCTAAATTTCTTACAATGTTCTAACCCTAAAGATCCTAAATTACCCCTTGTGATTCATATCATGTTCATATTCTCAACATTTGAAATTTGAAGATTTATTAACTTTCCTTACCTTCCAGTTTTAGGGCTCTCAAGCTTAAAAACTTTAAATCCTCAATTTCTTAGGAAGTCAAATCCTACTCACAGAAAATTCTAATTAACAAATCAAATTTATTACAATGTTCATAAACTAGTCAAAATTCATCTTTATCCCACCAAAGTCACACATGCAAGACTCAAATATCCACATGCAAACCTTAGCCCCTAAAGTTGTAAAAATACTCTTGAAATTAAAAAAAAAAAACTTACTTTATTTAAGATTCTGATCAGATGAAAATATTTTTCTTACCATTAAGAACACAATGATGTACTTGGATCTAGAGAAAAAGATAAGAATTGAGTAAAGAAGTTTTAAAGAGAAGTAAGAGGATTTACAGTTAAAACATAAAAAATTTCTATTTAAAAATTTTTCAAACTTTTACTCTATATAATTACTATTTCTCTTTAAACTACTAGAGTGTTCATCATATAATATTAGTTATTATTAATTAATAATAAGATAATAATATTATTACCTTATTAATAATAGAATAATATTTATCATTATTTATTTGATTATTATTTATAATTAAAATAAAATGAATAAAATAAACTGGTATGCTGATATTTATCCAGAGGCTAATTTTGAGTTTTTATAAATAGGCTACTTTCCGTAGTGTCCATTTATTCCATGTATAGAAAGACTTAATGTTCCAAATGCTAACCTGATTGGGAATCACTTACATTAAACTGTCACATTTAAATTTTATTATAAAATATAAATATATAAATAAAATAGACAATAATTATATATATTAAAATTATTATTATAAATTATAATAATACTAATTTTTTTATAATATAATTATAATAATTATTAAAATACAATAATTAAATTGATATAATTTTATTATTATAAATAATAATAACAATTTTTTATTTGAGAATAGAATTTTTATTACAAGTAAAAATAAAATAAATAATAATAATAATTAAAATATTTACATTATTACTATAATGATAATAATAATAATACAATAATATAATAATATTAATTTTAATAATAATAATATAATTTTTTTATTATTTAGTTTATTAATACTATAATAATAACAACTATTATAATATAATAATAGAAGTTGTACTATCTAGACTTCTTCCCAAATTAAAAAAACAAAAAAAAATTGAAATGTTCTTTGATGTACCCAAATCTGTAATTTTATTTAAATTTATTTCATTTTGATAAGTTAAAAAAAAAACACCATTTTAGTACAAAACTCATAAATGCTAGACTATGAGAAAACTTTTATATATAGGCCAAGTGGCAAGTAAAAAGATCAAGATTCCAAAGAAGTGTAGAATCAATTTAATAAATAAGTATATTTTAAAATTCAAATAAATTCTCAATCAATTTATTAAATTACCAGACTTGTTATTAATATACATTGAAAAATAATTTTTTTCTCACATTTATTTTTTCTTTCTTCTCGTTTACTTCTCATTTTTTTTTCTCTTTTAATTCATTCTTGTTTTTTTTTTCCTTCATCTCAGTTCTTTCAATTAAAAATACTAGTATTTTTTAATAAATAATTTTTTAAAATTAATTAATTAGACTAATAATAGTAAATCAACGTAATTATAATTAGATTAAATTATTAAATAAAAATAATAAATATTTTATTATTTAAGTAGATGAATAATTTATTTATTATGTGGGTGGATTAAGAAAAGATGTATCTATAAACTACTCTTAACTTCAACTCTTAAATGATATGTGACACTTATAAATATATTGGAACATGCCTCTCAATCGAAGACGAAAGGGTATGAGTAAAGTGAGACTTTATCTCTGGTTTTATAGTAAACGTCAAGTATTTGAATGAAAATGTTTTAACTTCATTTGTCCTTAAAATATGAATGGATAGGTTTATGATGGAGGATCATTTGGGCCTCAAACAAGGTCCAAATTTTAAGGGACTGCACTTAAAGTTCAAGTCTTGGCTATAACAAAAAGGAAATATATCATTTTAACTTCTCAAATTCATTCAAAACACTCCAAACATTTAAGGAGATCCAAGGTTCAACTCTTGGTTGCAACATGTGAGAATTTTTTGGTATATAAACTCATAAATATAACTAAAAGTGGTTTAGGTGGGACTTGAAGCTAGGAACTTCGGTATAAGGCAAAATTAGTCTCACATTCCTTAAGTGAGTGAATGAGAGGGGAACAACTATATATATAACCCCTTGTGTAGCTTTTTGAACTACATTTGGAATGAAGTTAAAATTTGTGTGTGAAACTTTCATATTTTACTTGTATCCCTATTTATTTTTTAAGTGTTTTTAGAGATTTCTTTCTCCTATTCTTCTAACAATGAACCTTCATTGGAAGAGTTACTGTAAAAAAACTGGAGAAATAATTTTGGTTCACCTTAAAAAAGAATTTTGATTCACCTTAAAAAAAATTTTGGTTCACCATAAAAAAAAAAAAAATATATATATATATATATATATATATATATATATTTATATATATTATAACCATGCAAGATTCATTAACCTACCAAAACTTAGCAATAATTATTATATATTATTATCATAATATAATTAATATAAAAAATATTTCTGTTATATCATAAATTTTAAAATAGACAAACTACCTTTACTTATTAAACATTGCAACAATTTTTTTTTATAGTAAGAGTATTGAATAGGTGTCAAAATTGTATTGGGCACCGAATTACCCTAAAACTATATGGGCAATTTAAGAGGGTGTCTATAACATATAATATCATCAATATTGATTTTCTTTGGTTAAAAAGTGAAGAAGATAAGAAAACGGATAAAAGGGGATATAGGGAAAGAGTTTCATAGTAGAAAATGCGTCCCGGTGAAGATACCATTTTTTTTTTTTTTCAAATTTTATTGGCCCTCAAGAAAAACTATGACAATTTTACATAATCTATAACAAATGTTAAAGTATGTAAAGTTAACAGATTTAGTTGACAATTAACACCAAAGATTAAACATAAAAAAAAAAATCGTATAAGAACTAAAATGTAAAATTACTGAAACTTAAATAAAATCGACAAAAACATGTTTGGACGAGTACAAGGATCAAATTGTAATTAAATAGAATATGCCATGTTAGTATAACAACAGAACAAACAAGTAGATTTCAGAAGAAAAATTTACAGCAATACATTTCAGCCAAGACAAGAATTAAACTAAAAATATTCATAAAAGAGTTAAAACACACACACATATATATATATATAAAGACAAAAATAAAAATATGCTGGAATATATAGATAAATATTTAATTAAAATTAAATTGGTTAACAACAATGTAATGAAACTTCTTGCAACTAAAGCATTACACCTTGAAAAAAAGAAAAAATGTAGAACACTTTATGACCTTTTCTTCTTTTTGTTAAAGGAGAACCATACATAAAATTAACTTTTATTTCTTCCTTTGATATCTTATGCTTAATTTTAGTTTTTTTTTTTTATGATACTACCTTCTATTATTAAGTATAGTTTTGCTCCTCTTTTTATCTCTCCTAAATTATATTAAAAAGTGATATTTTTATATACAAAATTAAGAACGAACAAACAAATGTATAAACCGAAAGAAAATACAACAAAAAGAAAAGAAAATAAGAGCATACAAATTCAAAGAAGGTGATGTGTGTATATATATATATATATATATATATATATATATATATATATATATATATATATATATATATATATATATATATATATGACCGTGATTCTATCTTTAATTCAATTCAGACAAAAATACGCAAAATTAACAACAATTTAATTCATTCTAAAAAAATGCATTTAATTAATCAATTAATTTGCATCACCTAGCAAAATTTCCAAGTTCTTATCTTTGATCTGTTTCGTTTCAATCTCTTCCAGTGCAAAATTCCTCCTCTGTTTTTTCCCATCCCCTGAAGAACTACAAAAATCTCACGTACACAGACAATAGATATAGTAATATTTTCTTAAACGCAACAAAAAAGTGAATAACCTACCATTATATTTCTCAAAATAAAAAAAAAAAAAACATTAAATTAACATTGTCGAAGTACATGAAGATTTCGATGAGGAGAGTTATACAGAGAGAAGAAGCAACAACGATAAACTAGTAGTGAGAACAATCTCTTTCCATTTCTTCAAACCGGTGGATGCTGAATTGTCCTCTTGCTTGTGAGGTGGCTTTTTGTAGTAGAATGGAAAGTACGGAAGAATAGGGTCAGGGGGGGGTGGGGCGCCAAAAGTACCACCTCCGCTGCCGTTATAGTCGTCTCCGTTGCCGTTGTCGCCGCCGTAAGGCGGTGTTGGGTAATTAGGGTAGGACCCAGAAGGTGGCGGATATGTTAACCCGGGTTGAGGTGGTGACGGTGGAACTGTAGAACCACCACCAGCTGAAGGGGTTGTGGGAGTGACGATTCCGGTGGGTGGTGGGTAACATGGATACGGGCACGGTGGGTTGTCGGTTTTTGTTGTTGTCGGAAAACAAAGGAGTAATATTGAGAGAAAGATGAGAGTGGATGTTGTGGCCGGGTTTGGGTGAGTGGAGGACATGTTTGGATGGTGGAAAGGAAAAAGAAAAGAAAAGAAAAGAAAAAAATGCGGTGAGAAAGGAGGAGGAACCGAGTGGGTGTGAGAGAGTGAGTGAATGAAATGAAGGTGAGTTTCAAGAAATGAGTGTGTGGTGTGGTCTTATTGGATGGCTATGGGTGTTTTGTCATGTTTCATCAATGAAAAAACTATGGCAAACATTGAAAGTGAAGTCATAGCGACTTGGATGTGATTATCATAGCTTGGAGAAGTCAATTTGGGTTTCAGAGGTGTTAAATTTTGGTGAGGGGAATTAATGACACCCTTGAATGAGCTTTCCTTTGGTGTTCTTTTTCGGTTTAGCTTTTCATTCTTCTAATCATCATCATTAAAAAGTAAATTTTACAACAAAAGGTTTTTTGTTTATTCATTAAGCTCTTAATTATTACGTACCAAAAACGGTTTACTTGGATTTAATTGGACAGAGGAACAAAGAATGAAAGTGGAGTTAGTGATGTTTGATGAGGCTACGGGACAACAAACAAACTCCTTCATTTGAGGTTTTAGAAATTAAGATTAGGATAAAAAAACACTTAAAATTGTTTGTTCGCTAAGAATAATAATGATTGCACATGATATGCCTACCACAAAAAGGAAGGATACATTGCAAATCCATCAGCTTATAAAATGCTACGATCAAGCCCTGGTCTGGTCTCTACTTCAACAGATAGAAACTTCCAAGTTCCAGTGTTTATTCAAGCATCTTCAAATTAAATGAGAATGACTTAATTTGACAGGTCACAGCTACCTTCAACTAAAAACAATATAATGTAGAGAGAATAAAAGTAGACTCTTGCTACATAAGTCTTCGTCCTTCACTAATTATGTTTCTTCGGAATTAGAATTTAATAAATATATTTAGCCAGATCAACCTGACCAGTGGACACAATTTTAGAAATTAAAACTTCATTACAGGGCTGCATCGAATTTTGAACTTTTTCAGTTTCTTTCCTTAAATACTAATCCATTCAATCATTTTAACTTGGGTCTGGTTGATGAGAGGACCATAACCCAAAGAAGAGAAAATGAAATAAAGAACAAAAGTAAACAAAGTCGATTTAGTTCTCACACTCATATAACATTTCAGATCAAAGATAGGAAGGAGTCTCCAAAACTCCTTTTTGTGATTTTATTCTTAATCGCTAAGTTGAATTATCTTTAAATGATTAATATAGCTTACAAGTAGTGCAACCACTATCCTTTTTCATAATTTAAGTTGCAAAATTAGCTTTAAATTAGGTCTTCTTTGACAAGAGTAAACATCAAATCTCAATGACATCAAACGACAGTAACCACTGCTATTATTGATTGCTTTTGGTTGTCATGTGTCTCCTGAATGAAAATTATGCTTATCCTCCACGGAATGGAAGTTCTTTTTCACCCTTTTGAGTTTATTTATAATATATATGTTTATATATAGTTATGCTTTGGTCTTTCTCCTCGTCATGGTAGCAAGAAGCCAATAACATATTACTTAGCTCTACATGAACGACACCAATTCTTTAGTATGGCAAAAACAGGTTAGTATTTCGAGAGGCTTGTTTCTGTAAAATCGGTGGGTTCATACTTTTATCTTATGATTCTATTTTGATTTGTGTTGTCTAATATGGTAATTTAGTGGAATATATTATTGTATTTAAAAAAATATTTATATATTAAAATTAAAATTAAAAAATTTAATTAAAAATATTATAATTTTTTTATGTTATATTATTAAAATATATAAATATATTATAATATTATAATTTATATTATAAATATTAATTAATTAAATTATTTATTATAATTAGATATTTTAATACATAAATAATTTTTTTAAATTTATCTAATAAAATTATTAATAATAAATAAAAATTTAAATATATATAATTAAATGTGTATTTTTTTTAAAAATATATATAAAAATATCGGTGAATTAATATACTAATTCGTCAATCTACTTACGGAGGAGATAAAATATATAATTTATCCTAATTATAACAAATTCGTCTATTTTATTCCGTTTTAAATTAAACAAAAATGAAAAAAATTAAATAAATTAATCTGTTTTATCACACAATATATATATATATATATATATATATATATATATATATATATATATATATATATATATATATATATATATATATATATAAACCATCACTTAATTCCAATTTATCTTCATGAGTCTATTTGTATCAATTGTTCACGTAACAAGTTAATATATATAAAAAATAAAATATAAGATAAAATAAATAGTAATATAATGGAAAGAAACAAAATAAAATATTATTTTTTAGTAGAAATAACATATTATATATAATAAAAACTTTTAAAATTTCAAACTTTTAATAAGCTTATATTAGTTTATGCACGAGTTAATGTGTAAAAGTTTTTCTCACTTTGTGACTTTTTATTATTTTTTTTACTATTTTTGTATAAATTAATTTTAGCTTACGAAAAAACCTAATTATTTTTTTCTTCTTATTTTCTCTCCAATAACTCTTTATGGAAAAATTTATTCAAATATAACGTAATTAATTCTAGATTTTTTTATCTTTTGTTCTGAATAAACTTCTAAGAATCTTTTAAATAAAAGTATCTAAAAGAAACTCATGCAAACATAATTTTTTAAGAATACTTAAAATAAAATTTCTATTAAAGAAACATTTTTCGTAAATGTTATATATAAAAATGTTTTAAGTTTTTTTTTTTAAATAATTATACTCGTCCCTTTATTTTATTACTATCTCTACTACAATAAATATTGAAAATACCAACGGTCAAAATCTATCGGTAATAACAAAAATCCATCAGTAAATAAATCTTACCGACAACAAAAATTCATCGAAAATTAGATTGTCGGTAAATATTACCGATGGATAAATATGTCGAGTAAATATTTTACGAAATTATTGACTGGACAGGAATCCGTCAGTAATATTTTTATTATTTTTTTAATTATTTATAGCCTATATTTTTAGAGATCCTCCTCCCTTTATATTTTTATTATTTATTTCCCCCATTATATTTTTATAATTTTGAATTATTATATTCGAAAGTAGTACCTTAGAGTTGGAGGCCGATACTCCAACCACTAAGCTACTAAAATTTTTTATAATAATTTATAAATAAATTATATTTATATACAAATAAATGTATATCCATGTAAATATATAAATACAAATATATTTATATATAATTAAATATTTATTTTTTAAAATTATTTAATTTAATAAATTATTATAAATTAATCTAATTATGATTAAATTAATTAGGTGAATAATTAATATATTAGAATATAATTTTCCCGACGGATATATCCGTCGGTAACTAATTGATAAATAATTATTAATTTACCGATAAATTTATCGATGGATATATTCGTCGGTAATTAATTATTAATTTACCGACGGATTTATCGACGGATTTATCTGTCGTTAACTAATTATATATATCCATCGGTAAGACCAAATTCCATAAATATTTCATATCCGTCGGTAATAACTCATTTTCAGGGCTACAAATCCGTCGATAAAAATCCGTCAGAAATATGCGATTTTCTTATAGAGGCGCCGCTAATTACACCTACGAGAGTACTATGACTCATTCTTCCACGTGTGTGTTTGATTTTTAGGTTCTTCTAACAATTGATACTTCTTTCAAATTCCAAGAGGACCTTATCATAATGTGAGATTGTATTCATATTTAGACGATCCATCATATGTCAACATGTAATTTTTTAAGAAATATTTGTAGTATAATTTTTAATAAAAAAATCAATTGAATTTAATCAATGTTTATGATTTTAAACTCAATACAATTTTATAAGTTTTTTTAATAAAAATATTGGAAATGTGACAAAAAATGCACATTTAAAAATAAATATTTGTCTGATTATCACTTTGTTTGGGGATGAGCCAGGAGAAAAAGAAATATACGAGAAATGAGAATTTTGAAAAATAAAATGTTTCATATTTCACAACTTTCTTATTTCCTTATTGACGAGTCTCGAAATGGTCAATTTTTAAAATCTCTACAAACCTAAATAATTGATTTTATTACCCATCAATTGATTTTCACACATTAAAATAATTGTGTCGCAATTTCTTTTTTATCCTCTTGAATCCAACATTTCAATTTTTATTGTATTTTTTTTTTTACATCATTCACTCTATCCCTTTAATTCCTATATCCATCAATCTAATTTTAATCTATTTCTTTGTTCCTAGTTACTACTAAACACACCAGCATGCCTTCTTTATGTATTTTAACACTGCTTTTTTAGAGTGAATTTGAAGAGAAACCAAAGTGAAAAAAAAAAAAAAACAAGTTTCTATTGTTTGAAATGGCAAAAAAGTGAATATATATATATGCCACTTAAAAGATATGTTTTATGATAAACTTTATGTTTCTTCTTTAGTCACTCAAGGGCATATTCTTACAATTTATCAATTTTAAACTATTTGTTAGCTTTTTCTTTTTTTCATTTTTTCTATTGTCTTTCATTCTTTATATTCCTCGGTCACTTCTTGTTTTGGAACATATATTTGGGATTTTGTTTCATGCATAAACATTTTTTTTATTCTTTGTATTGTTTTTCCTGTTTATCTCTTTCTCTACATATTTCTATCATTACGGGTTACATCCTTTTAATAACCATGTCATACAACAATGTGTGAGTGTGGTATAATATCAGAGCTCTTTTTTTGAAGAGTTCTCTTGCGTTATTTTGGTTCTTCTATTCCTTTTTTTCTTTTCCTTCTCCCCTTTTTTAGTTTCTTTGTTTCCTTTTATGTTTTCTTGCTTACCATGGTAGAAGAAAATCCAACACAGAGCTACCTTTACCTACATCCCAATGAAAACCCTCCCAACACTCTTGTTTTACCTATTTTTGATATCACAAATTACCATTCTTGGAGGTGTTCTTTGCTTATTGCTTTTAGCGCAAAGCATAAAATAAAGTTAATTCTTGGTACTAC